GGGCCTTCGGTGGAGCTCCCTATGGAGCCACGAAGCGCTGTAATGGGTGGGTGAAACGCACAGAGGAGGGAGGAGAGGGAGGAGGAGGGAGGAGGAGGGGGAGGAGGAGGAGAGGAGGAGAGGAGGAGAGGAGAGGACGCGGGCACCGTCTCTTCAAAACGAGGACCCAACACCACAGGATGGTTGGGAAAAACAGTGCGCGGGATTTTCCGGGCATCCTGTGTTTGAAAAAAAACAGTACGCGGAGGGTGCGCGGCTATCACCTGGACGCCATCAGGGGAAGAGGGAGAGTATATTCATATTGAGTAATTGTGGAGGGGAGGGGGGGAGGAGGAGGAGGAGGAGGAGGAGGAGGAGGAGGAGGAGGAGGAGGAGGAAGGAGCGGAGGAGGGAGGAGGAAGGAGGAGGAGGAGGAGAGAGGAGGAGGAGGAGGAGGAGGAGGAGGAGGAGGAGGAGGAGGAGGAGGAGGAGACGGCGGGGGAGGAGCAGGAGGAGGAGGAGCAGGAGGAGGAGGAGAAGGAGGAGGACGAGGAGGAGGAGGAGGAGGAGGCGGCTCCCCGCGGGGGGCCCACCGCGACGTGGCCGTCGGGCACCCGCTGCGCCGCCCACAGCGCCCCGCGCCGGCCCGCCCACGCGGCGCCCGGGTGCTCCGGAAGGCCGCCGGAGATGTGGAAGACCCAGGCCTCGATCCGCGGGGGGAGTGCCGTAGGAGAGGGGCGAGGGGGAGCAATGCCTATCGGAGAGGGGAGGGGGGAGAGGGGAGGGGAGAGGGGAGAGGGGAGGGGAGGGGGGAGTGGGGAGAGGGGAGAGGGGAGGGGGAAGGGGGAGCAATGCCCATAGGCGAGGGGAGAGGGGGGCGATTCCCACAGGAGAGGGGAGAGGGGGGAGGGGGCCTGGGAGACTCGGGCCTCGATCGACGGGGCGAAGGGGGGGCAGGGCCCACAAGAGGTCGTTTTTGGTTTCCCCGCGTCAACCTGACCTTTCCGCTTAGGGCAGCCCCATGTACAGCCCACGCACATGATAAGGATGCATGATGAGGATGCAAGGCCCCCTGAAAGGTGATGTCGGCACTTTTCGAGCGGGGCGCGGCCGGCGAAAGTTACCAAGCATGGGCCGAAGGGGCAAAGATGGCAGGGCAACCTCGGAAATTTGCTCTCGTGCCTCCTGTCTAGCCAAAACAACCCTAGCCCTTTTGGGGGGAACCTAAGCTAGGAGGGCCACAAACATTAGGGAGAAGGGGTCTTTTCTGCAGATGCATCAAACCACCACCCGGTGCTGTTCTCCCTCATGCAAAGACGGGGACCTCAGTGAGGTCACGTCTTCACTGTGTTATTTGGGTCAGGGGCTCTTGCTTCCTCCATGGCTTACTATGCAGTTTGAATGTATGCCCGCGCGTACCAGTACTGCCCTCCGGAGCTGCGCAACCGACACAATCAGGCTATCCAGGAGGTAGGGGGGGTGGGCGGGCGGGCCGATAACCAGGGTCCTCCGCGTAGCAGAACTGATTGACCCTAACATGGACTTTCTCGACGAATTTACCCACATGCGGCAGGTTCGTGTCGTGCCGACCCCAGCGTTGGTTTTTGACACCGCAGGGATCGTTCAACCTTGAACGATCGGCCGCTGCCGCAACGTCCGATCGTTCAACATCGACCGATTCTGGGCCGCCGGCGGCGTTCAACCTTGAACGCCCACGCTGGGGTCGCCGCTGGTCGACACGACGCAAACCTACCGTATTTTCGCGGATTCGACGAACAAATCCATTTTGGGGTACATCAATTATGTAATCGATCCCCTGCTCGAGTCATCGGCCGGACCCCTTGCAAAAGCGTGCCATCACTCGGACGTCCTTTCCCCATGAATTCTTCAGTTCAAGAAACAGGCACACGTCCGAGCGATGTCGAGTATCCAGGTCTCGGGCGATGCTTCGTGCAATCTGGGCGTTTCGTCGGTTTGATGCGCTTTTTCGTCAAATTCAAGGCGTCGCGAGGCCCGGACAATTCAGGCCTTCACGCAATTCGGGACTGCCTGGCACGTCTCTTCGGCCCAGCGCTACTTGAATAGGCGGCGGGGGGGGGAGGCAATGCCATGCAAGTGAACTTCCTTGAATATAAAAGAGAAGTGGGCCCCCACGCAGTCAGAACCGAATCCCGAGCGAAAAAGTACCCTCGGGCAAACGGGCGGGACCTGCGGAGGAAGAGGCGGCAGCGGAAGACCTTCAGATCCTAGCGCCGCTATTTGTGCACACTGGGTGTGTCTTTGCTCCGTTTCGCGCCTAGGGGCCCTGACACATCGATCCGGCTTGAACACGAAGCTCTGGCAAAATGTTGCATCGGATCTCGGGAAAATCACGGCAACGAGTGTTTCGTTATTTTCTGTCTCGGGGGCCCTCATCGGGGCAGGACCGTCAAAGAACGGCCCGGGGTGAAAGCTTGTCTCTGGGAAGGGGTCTAGACCCCCGAGGGCCCACGTCGTGACAGAAATCACGACGTCGGGGGTCTGGGGAGGGGAAGGAGGGGGGAGGGAGGGAGGGGAGGGGAGGGAGGGGGAAGAGGGAGGGGGGAGGAGGGATGGGGGAGGGAGGGAGGGAGGGAGGAGGGAGTGAGGGGGAGGAGGGAGGGGGAGGCTTGCTTGCTCGCCATCTGCGCACGGCCGGTTCTCGCCAAACGCGAGACGGTAGTGGCCGCAGGGCGTTCGGGAGCACGGTGCCCCCGTCCGTGTCAAACATGGGGGAGTCCCTCACCCAAACGACTGGCGCAGGAACCCCCCTACTTGGGCGCCCGAGTTATCTGGGGTAACTCGGGTCCGGGGTAACTCGAGTTTGGATTCCCGAAAAAGGAACCCGAGTTAGCCCTGACCCGAGTTACCCCTGATGATGTGGGGCTCTGGACAACCGAATTATCCGGGGTAACTCGGGTCTGGGGTAAGTCGGGTTCGGATTACCGAAAAACGAACCCGAGTTAGCCCTGACCTGAATTACCCCTGATGATTCGGGGCTCTGACCTACTGCGGCACAGGGGCGGAGGGGGAGGGAGGAGGACGACGGAAGGGCAGAGATCGGAACGAGCCATCGACGAACGATCGCGGTGCGACGCCATCGCCTACACGACGGCACGGCCATGCTGCGATGGCACCCTCGGCCCCTCGCGGGACAGCCCCCGCTGCGCCGCTGAGCTGAGCGCCCACCACTCGTGCCGCACTCCGTCTCGGTGAGGGGGGCCAGGACCCCCCACGGAGGGTCCGCGACGCGGGCCGGAGGAGGAGGAGGAGGAGGAGAGGAGGAGGACGAGGAGGAGGAGGAGGAGGAGGAGGAAGGAGGCGAGCGGAGGAGGAAGGAGGAGGAGGAGGAGGAGGAGGAGGACGAGGCGGAGGAGGAGGAGGAGGAGGAGGAGGAGGAGGAAGAGGCGGAGGAGTCGAGGTTCGAGGCCTCTGGAGGCGCTGTCGGCCCGCTCGTGGGCTGCTGGCGGAGGAGGCCTCTCGTCGCCGCGGCCGGGGGCGCCCCTCGAGAGCCTGGACAGGGCGCAACTCCCCCGAACGGGGGCAGGGTGCCGACTCGTGGCCCCCCCCCGGCGGAGAGGGGGCCAGGAGGGACCCCCGACCGCCTGGGGAGAAGGGAGGGTACCAGGAAGGCAGCAGAGGGGCTGGGACCAAGAAAGGACCAGAAGGGAGGGGACTCCTCCTCCTCCTCCGCCTCCGCCTCCTCCTCTCTCCTCTTTCCCCTCCTCCTATTCCTCCTCCTCCTCCTCCTCCTCCTCCTCGTTCCCCTCCTCCTCTTTCCCCTCCTCCTCCTCCTCCTCCTCCTCCTCCTCCTCCTCCTGGCGGGGCCAGAAGGGAGGGAACCTGGCGGGACGCATGCTCCCTCGCAGGGGTGCCGGCGGCGAGCGCGAGATTCCACGCGCTCCGCGAGCGAGCGCGAGATTCCACGCGCTCCGCCAGCTCTCCAGGGCGCCTGGAGCGTCGGCGTGCCGCGGCCCTCGTGCCGACCGCGACCCGGCAACGCTGGTCTGAGGTCGGGCATGTCCCCCTACAGGCGGATTTTGGACGCGAAAGAAAAACAAATCAAAACAAATTCCAGAATAGTCAAAAAGTACTTAACACATCGTCCCCTGATTATTCTTTTATACGATAACTTGTTGCACATGTGATACCCCCCCCGCCCGCCGAAGACAGAGGACGGAGGGTGGGGTGAGAGAGGTCGAAGCTCGAAGCTCCTCTTTTCCTCAGTGCGCCTGGATCGGGGCGCCGGCGTCGCTCGCGACTGGCACGCCCGCACGCCCGCCCCCTCGGAAGTGAACGCACCCCTCACAACATCACACAACTCACCCCTCTCGGCGTTACCGCGCCGTGCTGCACGCCTGAGCGCCTCCACGTGGGCCAAAAGGCCACACCTGGAGAGGTGGGTGTCGTCCACGCATTCGAAGGGCCTGGGAGGGTGGGGTCAATAAGAATGAGCACCAGTTTGGCCACTGAGCCAAAGGCCACGGAACAGCATGAGCACTGTGGCAGCAAGAGAAACACTAGGACGGCACCCCACCCTTGGCAGGGCTCCTGGTCGGGGGCCTTCGGTGACCTGGTCCGCTTGAGGGTTAAAACTGAGGCCTCAGTTTTAACCCTCGGAAGTGGCAACTTGAGCCACGATTTTACTTGAGCCACTTGTGGCAGCTTCACGACATCGTGCACTACAATCCTGTACGGCCCAACGCCGCCCAACACATGTAACAGTTATCATTTCTTTTACTTGGCACTAAAAGTCACGATAACTTGTTGCACATGTGATACCCCCCCCGCCCGCCGAAGACAGAGGACGGAGGGTGGGGTGAGAGAGGTCGAAGCTCGAAGCTCCTCTTTTCCTCAGTGCGCCTGGATCGGGGCGCCGGCGTCGCTCGCGACTGGCACGCCCGCCCTGGCCGCGACCCGACCCAGCGTACGTTCCAAAACTCGGCCCCAAAATGAAGCACACTGTCCCCCGCCCTGCCCAAGAGAGCCAGGACGGCGAGACGTCAAGCACGAGCACCGGGAGCCTCGTCCTCGGTCTCGCCTCGACCCGCCTCGGCATCGTCCGACGGCGGCCTGTCCGACCCAGAACCGGAATCGGATGACTGCGAGGACGAGCTGCCTTCGCCACGCTCGCCGCCGGCGCCGGCTGCAGCGCAGTCCACCGGCCAGCCACGCGAGGCCGCGAGCCGGACGCACTTCCTGCAGGCGTCATGCAAGTCAGCGCGCCCCTCGTGGAAGGTGAGGGCCGACTGTGGGAGACCTCCGAAATGCCAGCCGCACAGCGAGCTCCGCTCGCGGGGCACTCTCGACTCGCACGCGCGGGCCCTCGCGACATGTGTCTTGCCGAGAGCGTAGGAGACGAGGCGTAACCTCTCCTCCCTCTCCCGCATCCTCTCCTCCACGAGGCGCCCGACCAACTCCTCGAGGCCGATCGGGCCAGCTGCGCCGCCCTGGCGCTCCTCCTCCCCTTCGCGCGCCAGCGGGGCATCGCGCGCCCCGGCCGCGGCCATCGTCGCAGGCCCCGGCTCCACGTTGGCATCGCTTCGGGCCGCCCGAAGCGCCAGAGACCGTGCCTGCGGGGCCCGCGACCGCGCGTCCTCGACGTAGCGCTTGACGGCGTCGGAGCCCCATCGGCCGAACCACTCGACCAGCCACTGCTCGACGCCTGCCGCGGCGAGCAGCTGCGCGCCCATGCGCCGCAAGGAGTGGCCGTTCACCTGTCCAGCGCCCTCCGGCACAAGCAGCGCGCGCATGGTCGCGACCGCGGCCCTCTTGACGACCGCGTAGCCGGCGGCGTCCGCGAACAATGGGTCGCAAGGCTCCGCCTGGTCAGCCCGTCGCTTCTGGAGCTGGGCTCGGACGACGCACACTGGGCAGATGGCTTGCCACTCCGGCCTGCACTGGCAGATGCACGAGTGCACCCGGGTGCATCCGCAGCCCTGGATATCCTTCTTCGTGACGCCCAGGTCCACGGCAACTGAGTCCGTCTCCTCCAGGAAGCGGACGCGCTCGATTGTGAGGAGGGCCACCTCGATCTCCCGCAGCATCCACCAAGTGCCCACAGTGATGAAGCGACCGGGCTCGGTCGGACCGCCCTGGGCGTGCGCTCGCTTCACATGGGCAGCCACCAGCCACGACTCCAGGGTGAAGACCGCCGCGTGCGTCGGCGGCCCGAGGCCCCTGATCGACGCACGTCGGCACCCTCTCATCACACCGTGCAGCCTGACCGACCAATCGTAGTCCTCCTCGACGTGCATCTGCTTATACCTCTCCAGATAGCACGCTGTGGACCTGTACCCGGCCGCACGCAGCGCGCCGCCGATCCTGTAAGCCTTCTCTGGCGTAAACGGCAGCAAATCGAAGCCGCCCGCCCTGGCCAGCGAGACGAGGGCCTTCGTGTAGCTGTCCATTACGGGCCTCGTCGTCACCGCCAGGGTGGCTTCCCTGAACTCTGCGGCGGCGGCAGCGGAGCGCTGCGGACATCCGATGACCTGCAGCGCCCCTGCCAAGCAGGCACGCTTGGCTGGCGCCGCTGCCGCCGTCTCATCCCACCTTCGCCTGGCTGGCGCGGGTCCCGGGCCCAAGAGAGCATCCGGTACCCCGCCGCTGCTCCTCTCCTCCTCCTCGCGGCCGCGGCGCCCCTGCGCGCCGTCGACCCGCCTCGGCCCCTCGTGCAGCGCGTCGGCGGGAGCGTTGACGACGCGGATCACTCGCGGGAGGCCCCGCTCCAACGAGCCTGCGCCCTTGTCGCGCCCAGGCGGGGAGGCATCTCCGATAGCTCGCCTGGCGGGACCTCCGGCGCGCCTCCGCTCAAGGCGCCGAGCGTGGCTCGTCGCGGCACCGTCGCCCGCCAGCAGCCTTGTCCAGCACCGTCCGCGTGAGGGCCATGGAGCGCCACCACGACCCGTCGCGCGCGGCCACGGGAGTCCGCGTGCACCCAGCCTGCCGCAAGACCTCGGGGAGCGCGAAGCGCCCGCCCGGCTCGAAGGCCCTCGACAGTGCGTCCGCGACGTCGTTGAGCTCGCCCGGCACGTGCTCCAGCACGTCGATGCCGTACCGAGTCTGCGCCACGTCGAGGGCGATCTCCCTGGCGATCTTGTTGATGGCGGGCGTTGGACTGGCCATCTTACCAAGGGCCCCGAGCGCCGCCATGGAGTCGCTCTTGACTCGAACGCCAGTCCGGTGCTGCGCCCACCTGGGAAGCCAAGTCCGCGCCGCGACCGCAATGGCCAGCGCTTCCAGGACCGCCTGGGCCTTGCACGAACCCTTCTCGACCCCCAGCTCCTCGACGTCCGCCGGGCCGACCTCGTCGAAAAGGTAAGCGCGAGCGGCCCCGTCGACCCATAGGACCGCCCCCAGGCCCCACGGGGAAGCATCGCAGACGATCTCGATGGACGGCTGCCGGAACCACTCCCTGACGTCGACCGTCCGACCAGGATCGCCACCCGTGACAACGCCCTCGAGGAAGGCATGCAACCACGCCAACGCGACAATGATGCGCGAGGTCTGCGCAGCTGGCTGGGGGTCCCTGCCGATCCAGGGGATCCCCGAATCCCCCTTGGACGCGGCATTGAGGTCGGCCAGCGTGGCCCACAGGCTGTCGATGAAAGAGCGCATCGTCGGCACCAGACCTGTCGCCCACGACGCCCTCCCCGCGATGCGCCGCAGCTCCGACCGCGCAATGAGCGGCCGCCTCGTCGCTTGCTCGATCTCCGCCTTGAACTCCTGCGCGAAAGCCTGCGCCAGCACCGCCTGCACGACGTACCGCGAGACGAGGCGGTATTCCACGCCGCACCACTCGACCCGCCTCCCCCGCGAGACCTTGGCCCAAGAAAGCCGCAGTCCCAGAAGGATGGGCCAGAGGAGGAACTTGGCGAACCGCCGCCTCCGCGTCTCGGCCGTGCCGACGGCGAGCACCAGGGGGTCGTCGACGTAGCACTCGCCCAGGAGATGCTCCGGCTCGAAGATCGACTGCGCACCGCGCATGACGTACGCCGCCGCGCGGCCCCAGAGCAGCGGGCTCGCCTCGCCGCCGAAGACCACCGTACGAAACACCACGTACTCGCCGTCGAAGACCTTCGCCACGCCATACGGGAGCTCGTCTGCATGGACTGGCAGCGTGTGAAAGGCGTCCTTGAAATCCAACGCCATCGCCTCGACCTCCTCGTCCTCCGCGGCGTGGCGCAGAAGGTGCATGGCATTGCTGAGGATGTCCTTCGGGCGCGGAAGCACAATCCTCTCGTCGACCTGCACGCACCTGTTGACGCCCGATCTGCGGAGGTCGATGATGATCCTGGCCTTCTTCGCGCCGTCCTTCCGGTCCTTGACGATGCAAGCGAGCCTGGACGCCGCAACCGGGCCGTAAGTGCCGACGACCTGCTTCCAGGACTTGAACCTGACCGCGAAACCCTCCTTGATGATCCTCTCGATCTCGGGCTCCGCGTGCACCCTGGCCTCCTCGAAGCTCTTGTAGTTGCCGTGCGCCTCCAGCAACGATAGCACCTCATGCGCCTGCGTGCGCTCCTTCGCGGCCGGGCCGAGTTGGGGAAAGATCCCGCAGCTCGGCACCGGTCTGGCCACGCCGATGGGGGCGCCGTCCCGAAGCCAATCTCCAAGGTGCACCTCCGGGTCCTGCGAGGCAGCCACGTGCGCCTCGACGATGTCCCGCTTCCAGGGCGTCCGCTTATGCGCCTTGGCCTCCTTCGCGCCGAGGGCGCGACGCAAGTCCCCCCGCGCCGCGCGAAGGCGCGGATCCCGGACCAGCTCCTGAGCGCGCTCGCCGCCGTCGGGGAGGTCGAGGAAATCGGGATGCTGGTCCAAGAACTCGTCGAGGAAGGCCCCGATCTTCCGACCGGTCTCCGCGAGCATCGGGAGCTTCTTGACGGCCTTCCACGGCGCCCGGAGCCCGCCGATGCACGCCTCGTTCTCTTCTGCCCGCCGCGCCGCCCGGGAGCCAGCCGTTGGGTTGGCAAGCGACGTGCCCGCTGGTGCCTTTGGGGGTGATCGTCCGCCTGCGTCTTGCGCGGCTCGACCCCGCCCAGACGCCTCGGCCTCCTGGCGCACCCCGGCCAGGCGCAACCGGTCCTTCCGCTGGCGGATGACCTCCTGCAAGCGGTCGTGCTTCGCGCGGAGGTCGTCGATCCGCGCGGCCCGACCGGCAGCTGAGCGCGAGCGGGCTCGAGGGCGGGTGCCCCGCGACTGGTCCGCATGCTTCTCCACTCGGGGAGGGCTGCCTCCAGAGGCGCCGGCAAGAACCGAACGCCCCCGGTGCGGCAGCGGGTCGTGCCTGTGCTCTCGGTGACCCTGGCCGGGTGCGCCCTCTGGTGAGGCGGAGCGTTGCCTGCCGCCCCTGCCGCGCGCTCCCTGATCGGACCGAGGGCGGAAGCATCGCTGCGTCTTTGTCCGATCCCTGACCCGGGAAGCCTCGCCCGCGGAGGCGTCAGCAAGGACAGGACGCCCACGGCTCGGCGGGGAGCCGTTCCCTCTTCCGCCGTGCTTCCTCCTCCGGCGGCTCTCCAGGGAGGGAGAGCGACGCCTGCCGCTCCTCGCTCTCTCCTGCAAGCGGCTCCTGCTCCTGGTGCCTCCTCCTTGCCTCCAGTGTGTGGGGGGGCGTTGCACCGACTCCGCGGCGCCGGATGATCCCGGGGCGGCGCCTGCATCGGCGGGCGCCGAGGCATCGCCCGCGCAGCCGAAAATCTGCCGAAGGCGGGTGCCCAACTGACGCACCGACGCGCCGCCGCCCTCGTCGAGCAGTTCTGTCTTCCGCATCTTCCCCAGCGGGTCCGCTGGCCGTTCGCTCGACTCTGGACGGCCGCGCTCGCCTGCCTGGGGAGATAGTCAACGGGGCGGCGACCACCCGTCAGGCTTCTGGCGGCACTCGATGGATCTGTGCTTTGGGGACCTGCACCACTCGCAGGCGTGCACCCTGCCGTTGGCGCACACCTCGCTGCACCCATTGGCGTTGTGGTTCCACGCCCAGCAAAGCGGCTTGCCTCTCTCGTCCCCACGCCACCTGCCGTCCGGATGCTTCGCGTTGCCTTTGCCGCCGCCCGCGGCGCCACGGCCCCCGCCGCGTCCTCCGCTGCGACCGCGGCCGCTGCCTCCAAACTGGCTGGAGTCCGAGGCTGCGCGGTCCTGGCTCCCCCAGGCGCGCTTCGCACCGCGCTTGCCGCCGCCGTTGCCGCCTGTGCCGCCGCCTCCACCTCCTCCCGAGCCTCCGCCTGGGCCTCCGCTGGGGCCTCCGCCAGGGCCGGGATGCCCAGTGCCGTCGTCGGTGAGCTGCTGCCTGGTCCTGAGGTGGGTGACCCAGAGCGTCGCCTTGCGCCCCAGCTCCTCATCCCAGAAATCGGAGTCGGCAGCGGCGGCCTTGAAGCAGTAGTCCCACGGCATCTTCGGGTCGAAGGCGTGCGGCGCCCCCGAAACCTGCGCAGCCGCGTACTTTTCCTCGGCGCGCCTCCTGATGCGCTCCATGCGCTCGGAACGCATCCGCTGATCCGCCAGCGCGACCAACCACCAACAGACCTCGCCGTAGGTGTTGTTGAACTTGGAGATCTTGTTCTGGTACAGCTGGAGCCTCGTGGTCGTGGCGGCCCCGAGCGCACGCATGCCGACCGAGAAAACTCGGAACGCAGGCAGCCACTCCGCGAACGTCGGCGGCCCTGGCACCTCGTAAGGCCTGTAGTCGCCGGCCGGCGTGATGTGATGCACGACCAGCTTGAGGGTGCGCGCGAACCGCTGGCCGTACGGCCGCCACACCCCGAAGTCGGGGCAGGGGCACGCGCCCGTCTGGATGCGATGCTCCAAGGCCGCCAGCTGGTCCCCAGTGACGTCCTCGTCTGGCTCGGGGTCCTCGTCGTCGTTGGCCGCCTTGAAGGCCGCCATGACCGTTCGCGTCCGTTGGGCCGACCAGGGGGCGATCTCGGAGTCGTCCGCCTGGTCGAAGATGGTCGACATCTTGACCTTCCTGATGGAGCTCGCATTGACGACCTCCGGGGGCCCAAGAGGGTTCCCCGGCGCCGCCACTCCGCCGCCGCCCCCAGAAGGGGAGCCCTCGCCTTCTTCGTCGGCAGGTAGTCCGAGGCGCAGCCGGCAGACGCGACGAAACCCCCGCGCATGCCCCAACTCGACGCCACGGAGAGGACGGGGCGGTGGGGGGTCCCCGCCTTCAGGGGTGGCATCCTGCACCCGGGCGGCCGCCACGCCGGCGATCCAAGCATGAGGAGGAATGAGGACGACCTCGCGGATCTGCGCAACCTCCCCGAGCTCGGACTGCAAAGCCGCCCACACAGTGGGCTGGAGACCGACCCAGTTCTGGATGTCCTGGAGGTTGTTCAACCCCCGGAGCTCGCTGGCGGACGGGTCAACCATGGCCCGGCCCCGCCTGCGGGCCCAAAGCAGCGCGGCGCCCGCGCTGCAGCCGCGCGCGGGGTGCGCGCACGAGATTGAGAAATCACAGAGTCAATAAGAATGAGCACCAGTTTGGCCACTTGAGCCAAAATGGCTACGGAACAGCATGAGCACTGTGGCAGCAAGAGAAACACTAGGACGGCACCCCACCCTTGGCAGGGCTCCTGGTCGGGGGCCTTCGGTGACCTGGTCCGCTTGAGGGTTAAAACTGAGGCCTCAGTTTTAACCCTCGGAAGTGGCAACTTGAGCCACGATTTTACTTGAGCCACTTGTGGCAGCTTCACGACATCGTGCACTACAATCCTGTACGGCCCAACGCCGCCCAACACATGTAACAGTTATCATTTCTTTTACTTGGCACTAAAAGTCACTATTTTTGAATCTTCCTCCTGTAGAGAGACAGGCCCGACTCAACGCTGGTCGCCGAGGCTGAGAGGGCGGTGTCTGACAGGATGGCCAGGAGGAGGAGGCGCAGGAGGAGGAGGAGGAGGAGGAGGAGGAGGAGGAGGAGGAGGCGGGACCAAAGGGAGGGGACCGTCTAACCAGGAAGGGGACCAGGGAGGGGACCAGGAAGGGAGGAGACCGTCTGACCAGGAGGGGGACTGGGCGGGGAACGTCTGACAGCGAAGGGAAGGGGACCAGGAGGGATCAGACACATGCCGCCTAAAAATCACACGCACACGCACACGCACACACGCACACACGCACACACACACACACACGCACGCACGCACACGCACACACACAGAGACACAGAGAAACAAAGACTCAGAGACACAGAGACACAGAGACACAGAGAAACGGAGACACAGAGACACAGAGACACAGAGACACAGAGACACAGACACACAGACACACAGACACACAGACACACAGAGACACAGAAACACAGAGACACAGAGTCACAGAGACACAGAGACACAGAGACACAGAGACACAGAGACACAGAGACACAGAGACACAGAGACAGAGAGACACAGAGACAACGAGACACAGAGACACAGAGACAAAGAGACACCGACACACAGACACACAGAGACAAAACAACACAGAGGCACAGAGGCACAGAGGCACAGAGGCACAGAGACACAGAGACACAGAGTCACAGAGACACAGAGACACAGAGACACAAAGACACATAGACAGAGAGACACAGAGACACATAGACACAGAGACACAGAGACACTGACACACAGAGACACAGACACACAGAGGCACAGAGACACAGACACACAGACACACAGACGCACACGCAACACACACAGGCCATCCCACACTGGGATGTCCGACGTCCCAAGCAGTCCTGTGTGGTGGTGGCCCTCCTGAAGGTCAGGGAGAGGATGAAAAGAATAGAGGAACAAACAACGACATAAACTTTAACTTTTGGCGGTCCGAGCGGATTTCGCGGAGCGCGCCAGGGGCGGCGCCGGAGGCGCCGCCGGGGGGGGCCCAGCGCGGAGCCAAGAAATCCGCGCGGAACGCCAAAAGTTGATGTTTATGGCCTTTAGCATTATTCGAGAGAACGCGGAGGAGGATGGGAGGGAGGGAGACTCCCTGGTGGCCTGTCCTGGCACCCGAAGACGACACGTTGCCCGTTCCTCCGGGCTCGTTCTCACGCGCCTGGCCCTGGTGGTCACCGGCCCTGAGACTGGGCGGGCGCCAGGAGGGGGGAGAAGGGCCGAAGAGACAGGGAGGCAGAGGCAGAGGGAGAGTAGAAGAAGAAACAACGGCATAAAGATAAACGTTTGGCGCTCCGCGCGGATTTCTTCCATCTGCACTGGAACTCCCTCCCTGGCGCGCGGAGCGCGCCAGGGCGGCGCAGGAGCCAAGGGATCCAAGGGGTCCGCGCGGAGCGCCGAACGTTTATGCATTTTTTTGTTATGGCGTTTCTCTTCTTCGAGAAGAGGGGAGTGGGAGAGGGCGAGGTCGGAGGGCAAGCCAGACGCCTTCGCGGCATCCCTGGAGTCCTGCCCCCCGCCCCCGCGCCCTCGAAATAGCGCGGTGGCCCTCCCAACTCGCAGGGTCGACGGTCGGGGGGGGTGGGGGGGGGCGATGAGCGGAGGGAGGGGAGTGAGGGACGAGGGAGGAGGAGGGAAGAGGGGGAGGGGGAAGAGGAGGAGGAGAAGCAGGAGGAGGAGGAGGAGGAAGAGGAGGAGGAGGGAGGGGGAGAAAGAGGCGGAGGAGAATGAGGAGGAGGGAGGGAGGAGGAGGGGGAGGAGGAGGAGGAGGAGGAGGAGGAGGAGGAGGAGGAGGAGGAGGAGGAGGAGGAGGAGGGGAGCGAGGGAGGAGGAGGAGGAGGAGGAGGAGGACGAGGAGGAGGAGAGGAGGAGGAGGGGAGGAGGAGGAGGAGGAGGAGGAGGAGGAGGAGGAGGAGGAGGAGGAGGAGGAGGAGGAGGAGGAGGAGGAGGAGGAGGAGGAGGAGGAGGAGGAGGAGGAGGGGGGGAGCGAGGAAGGAGGAGGAGCGAGGAAGGAGGAGGCGGAGGAATCCCAATCCAACGGACCTTGCCGACACCCGACGCTGCATCCGGCAAGCCGCGCCACGCCAGCACCTCCCCCCCTCCTCGTGTCGGGTGTTGCTAGAAGTACCCCTGGCCCAAGGTACCCCCAGGATTCTCGGGGTGGCCCAGACGGCCTCCAGGGCACCCCTCGCGAAGGCCAGCGGGCCCCAGGGGCTCCAACATGGAGCGAAAGGCTGGGGGCACCTTGGGCCAAGGGCACTTCTGGCAACGCCCGATCGTGAGCCACAGCGGCACGGCGACCGGAAACCTTCGGGGGACGGCCAGCGCCGCCGGCGGCGTTGGGCGGAGGGTCCTGATTACGGAAATCCGCGTGCCGCCGAGGCGGAGGGTCGGCGTGTCGATCTCTCGCTGGCCTGCCCTCGACTTGCGTAGTTCCCCTCGTACTTGGGGACCAAATTCCAGAAATCATTTCGAGCACCCAAACAAGTGTCGAAACGGTGTGAAAACGAGTATCGCCTAATTACCAGGGTCCGACACGTGAGAACCCCCTCCAGTGCAGTACGTTCCTGGTGCTCGAAATTCTTCCTGGCGATCAAGGCTAACATAGGTTTGAACATCATAAGCCTGGACCTCCTCGCGCTGCGAAAACATCACGGCGGGAGGTTGTGGTTGCCCGCTCTTGGCCTCTGGGGGGCCCCCCCCTGCAGGGGGCAGGCGCTGCTCTTGTCGATGCGGGGTTGCGGTTCGGTCGGGCACGGCTGTCGATGCAGGGCCACGATCCGGTCGGGCATGCCCCCCGGCAGACGGATTTCGGAAGACAATGACAAATAGTCACAACAAGATCAAGCATAGTCAAAAGAGCACGGCCCATCGTCACCAGACTATTTTTGTTACCAGTCCTGAGAATTCCGCCTGTGAAGGGACAGGCTCGACTTAAGGCCACGGCCAGCGCTGCGGAAAGAGCACCCCTTCCAGCGGAGGCCGATGGATGGAGTTACAGAAATGCTGGAAACACCGCGGCGGGATCATTACTTCCACGAACACTGATGCTGGAGTACGCCAACACTGCTACAGCTGCAGCGACGTCGTTCCGTTGGACGGAGGTCCCTGGTGAATAGGAAGCACAGAAAATGCGCCAGCGAGAGCACCATTTCCAAAGTTAACAACCACTCAGAACATATGCAAGAGCCAAGAGTGTAACCACAGCTGTGGCGGCAACGTCGTTCCCTTGGACAGACAACACAAAACACCTCTGCATGAAAACATGCCGAACGCACCACCACCGATTCCTCGGACGGCCCTGGAAGCCGGAAACGGCCAACGAAAACCACCCGCCCTCATTTTCTCAAAACGCGGCCCCCGGAACTCCCTCACCCCGGTCCCCAAAACCAGGGACCGGTCTTTCCTCCCGAGTGGTTTCTGTGAAGGGGCCCTGGGACACACAAGTACATAGACACACAGAAACGGATCCCCCATACTTTCACGGCCTCCGTCTTCCCCCCCCACTTCCCACATCTTCCCATCGATTTCCCTGGGGGGTCGACGACGACTTGCGCCTGCGTGTTTCTGTCCCCTCCCGATTTTGGACCGCCCACGCTCGCCATCGCTCGGACGTCCATTCCCTGTGCCTTTTTCGGTTTCGTGCGTGGCTTTTTCTCGGGTCGGGCGCAAGGGGGGGATAGCAAAGGGGGGGTTTGAGAATCAGCTCACGTAGCTGATTTTCCCGGCGCCTCCCGGCGCCGGAAGCGCCCACGTATCGAGGAATGGGCCCCTCGGTGAGGCCGAAACCAGCTGCATGCAGCAAATTTCGTACCCCCCCCTTTCCCAATCCCCCCCTTTCGCCCGGCCCGATTTTCGCCAGATGATTAAGCATGCTCCTCGATGGCCCTCGCCGAAGGAAAAATCCACACGTCCGAGCGATGCCGAGCGCGGGCCGGGCGAGGGCCCCGGAGGCCGAACAGCAAGGCCCAGCACAAAAAAAAACCTCCCGCCGTGGCCTCCACGGCGCGCGCGCACGCCCGGGGGGGAGCTGCATTCTGCTGCTCCCCGGGGTCTGCCTCCTCCTCGGCTCCTGGCTCCTCCTCCCTCGCTCCTCCTCCTCCTCCTGCTCCTGCTCCTCCTCCTCCCCCTCCTCCTCCTCCTCCTCCTGCTCCTGCTCCTCCTCCTCCTCCTCCTCCTCCTCCTCCTCCTCCACGTCCTCCTCCTCCTCCTCCTCCTCCTGCTCCTCCGCGTTCTGTGAGCTCCTGCTGGAACGAGCAAGCCGTTTTGGCATACGTGTGTGACAGAGGTCAGCGGATGGCCCCAGCCCTCGATGACAAGGACTGGGATGTCTTGCTGGGCCCGAGGAAGCCAGAGTGGGCGTATGGCTCGTGCGCCCGCCTGCACAACTGGACGTCCAGGGTCAAGTGTGAGTGCGGGCGCTCGGCGCCCGCGCATATTCGAGCGAGAGCCTTTACTGCCCACAAGGTTGCCATGCAGCAGCTGGAGCGGAGTGGAGGCAAA